AAAAAAAAAATCTAGAAAAGTATACTTACTATGTAGATACTGTGTCATGCAAAAATAGGCACTGTCCATCTAACTCCCATTTCCTTTATATTTTCTAGTGCTTTCTTTTCACTCATCCCACAAATAATGAGTGGCAGGTAAATGCAAGGCACTGTGCTAAGCACTGGGAGTATGTGTTGAATGAACTGCCAACACACAATTTTGTATTTCTTAGTGCTTTTTATTTCTATTCTTTTCACATATCTAAATGTCAGAAAGTGAATAAATACACATGAAATTGGAAACTACATCCTAAAATGGTTTTATTATTGGCCAGCTGTTGACATCTTTATTGTAGAAGTTTGAACAGGTCTAAAGTGCATTCTTGCAGCTAATCAATAGCAGCAAATATATTCTTCCTTAATCACCTAAGATGAACACTCCCGAGAATTAGTTTAAAAGTATACAAGAAACATACAAAAAGACAGCATTATAAAAAGGTTTGTACAGCAATGAAAAAGGGGGAGTCTTGCTCTGCTATTAATATTAAATACAGCAAGGTATATATTATACAAAGTGGGTGAATTCTAGATGTCTTTGGAACCATCAGGGAAGCTTTGATCGAGGCCAGTGTATGAAGTAGCGGAGGTCTGTGATGTTCACCAAAGCTGCAGTTCCACAAGATGACTTAGAAGACTGCTCCTGGGACGGCTTTGGAGAAATCATGCACACAAATGAAAATGTTCTTTTGCTAGTGGGACTGTCAGTTCATGGCTTCTTGCGCCTAAAACATAAAAACCAACATTTAATGTTGAATCTTGCAATTAGCATCACATTCATAGAACATTAATCTTTAGAAGGGCTTTGAGAATTGCTCTTTGATCATGGGAAAATTCACTTCCTTCTGAGAAAGCAAATAACTATTATAAAATATGTTTATCTAGTATTAAGTTTAGAAAACAGAGACTTCATATCTTCATATTGTTAACAACAATTTTCCAAATTCTTCACTAAGGAAAACAAAGTATTAAAAAAGTTGCATATATGGCTCGGTGCCTGTAGCTCAGCAGCTAGGGTAACAGCCACATACACTGGGGCTGGCAGGTTCAAACCTGGCCCTGCCAAACAATGATAACTACAACAAAAAAATAGCCAGGTGGCAGGCACCTGTAGTCCCAGCTATTTGGGAGGCTGAGGCAAGAGAATCGCTTAAGCCTAAGAGTTTGAGATTGCTGTGAGCTGTGACACCACAGCACTTTACCGAGGGTGACAAAATGAGACTGTTTCAAAAAAACAAAGTTGTATATCTAGATATTTCCAAAGTGGGGGTTTTAATAAAATAAGGAAAAAGTAGGGGTCAAGCTCCTACATATAGGTTTAATAGAAGAGGAAAACATGCGACTCCTTCCTAACATAAATTCTGCCACTCGGTACAAGTGAACTTTTCTAGAACTAGAGTATAAATGTTTTAACACAATAACTAAGTAAATGACACAAAGTCTATGTTAACCAGTTTGATGAAAGTATTTCAAATCGTATATGAAAACACTACACCGTACTCCATGTTTGCATTAATGCATACAGCTATCATTTAATAAAAAATAAATAAATAAATTCTGCCACTCAATTTTATTTACTTTAATAAAAACTTATTACTATAGCAAGACCAAATTAGGAAGGAATGAATTACACCAAACTGTCATCATCCCCAACTAATGCCTTTAGCCTTTCCTCCTCACAGGTGCTCTCAGTTTAGCCTCAGAAATCTTTATGAGCATTGGCAGAATATGAACAAGAGCTACCAATCTTATATTACCTCCTGTCCTTGCAGCTAACTGCTTTTATCCAGCCCTCTAAGGCTCTGACACTAAAGCTGCGTACTGCAGTCTGCCAGTGGGGCCTGGATATTCCAAGGGAAAAATGAAAACCCTATGTTTGCTTTTTTTTTTTTTCCTCTGAGACAGATCCTCAAGCTATCCCCCTGGGTAGAATGCCATGGCATCACAGCTCACAGTAACCTCCAACTCCTGGGCTCTAGGTAGCCCCCTACCTCAGCCTCCCAAGTAGCTGGGACCACAGGTACCGGACACAACGCCCGGCCATTTTTTGGTTGCGGCCATCATTGTTGCCTGGCAGGCCTGGGCTGGATTCAAACCCGCCACCCGAGGTGTATGTGGTTAGTGCCCCAGCCACTTGAGCCACAGGCGCCGAGCCTATGTTTGCTCTTAAAATCAAGTAGATGGGCCAGGCACAGTGGGTCAGGCCCATAATCCTAGCATTCTGGGAGGCCAAGAGAGAAGGATTACTTGAGCTCAGGAGTTCCAGACCAGCCTGAGCAAGAGAGAAACCTCATCTTTACTAAAAATAGAAAAAAAACTAGCTGGGCATGTAGCAGGAGGCTGTAGTCTCAGCTACTTAGGAATCTGAGGCAAAAGGATCCCTTGAACCCAAGTATTTGAGGTTGCTGTGAGCTATGACACCATGACACTCTACCCAGGGTGACAGAGTGAGACTCTGTCTCCAAAAAAAAAAAAAAAAGAAAAAAACCCAGCTGCCACCTCTGTATCAGTGGGTAGGGCACCAGCCCATATACCAAGGATGGTGGGTTCGAATCTGGCCCCACGGCCAAACTGCAAAACAAACAAACAAAATAGCCAGGTATTGTGGTGGGCACCTATAGTCCCAGCTACTCAAGAGGCTGAGGCAAGAGAATCGCCTAAGCCCAGGAGTTAGAGGTTGCTGAGACACTGTCTCTACAAAAAAAAAAAAAAGAAAAAGAAAAGAAACCCAAGCAAACAACAAAAAACCCCAAGTAGATGGTTGGAAGAAGGGGTGATGACAGAAATACCAGAGAAGGGAAAACACAGACAGCAAGGCTCCAGTCGACTGCCAGTGCTTACTTGGGCTGGGCGTGATGCTGATATCCAGGTCCCAGCTGAGATCCTGCTTTCATCTCCACGGCCACAGAACACTGAGAGGAAAGTGATAGAACAGGAAAAGATCAGCTCCCCTCAGCAGTCTATGAACACAGTTGTTTACATAGGCTCTGCCTAGATGAAATCCAACATTGCTTTTCTATAATTTATAATAGTTCAGCAAAGACACCTATGTTAAAACACCAGTCAGTTACTCACAATTTATTTCTAGCATCACACAAACTTTGTGAGCCAAAAAGATCTTTAGAGGTCACTTTAGTTAAGGAAGAGGAGTTTTATTTTATTTTATTTTATTTTTTTTGGAGACAGAGTCTCACTTTGTTGCCCTCAGTAGAATACCATGGCATCATAGCTCACAGCAACCTCAAACTGTTGGGCTCAAGTGATTCTCTTGCCTCAGCCTCCCCAGTAGCTGGGACTACAGGCGCCCACCACAAGGCCCGGCTGTTTTTAGAGATGGGGCCTCGCTTTGGCGCAGGCTGGTCTCGAACCTGGGAGCTTAGGCGATCCACCCATCTCGGCCTCCCAGAGTGAGCCACTGTGCCCGGCCAGGAAGAGGAGTTGGTGAGAGTTAGTGGCCAGGGCCAGAGTTGAACCTCTCAACCCCCACTTTCTCATGTTTTTCCATATGAGCCTCTTCTCAAGAGTAAACAGTTACAAGGTGATTCCTGCTGAGCTGCTTCTAAGAAGATTCCCATCAAGTTGACATGATTTCTTGCTGGAGTGATATTCTCTGACTTATTCTCGAACCCTGTTCTTCTACACTGAAAATGAGGTTTGAACTGAAGAGCAGACCTAAAGAAATACAAATACCTTTGCAGGTTCCCTAGAACAAAGCCTACGTGCTGTGCTGGTAATGTGAGATAGTACCTCAGCATCTTCATCAAAGAACTTCAAAAAACGTAAATGGGGTTTAAGACATGAGATGCCTAAATTTTATTAAGCAGACAAATATTTAATTTTTCCCCTACCCTTGTTTCTACATCGGTCCACTCAGACTCTGTGCCATCTGGCTGGGCAGGTACTACTGTGGAAGATCTTCGTTTTCGACTACTGAAAAGGCGGAAACATGATGCAACAATTATTTTTGCATCTAAGAACAGGAAAAATATTAAAAAAGAGGGAAATACCATCTATACCCCTTTGAAGAATTAATGATAAATTCCATAGGATATTCTGTTCCTCAAGAATGAGCAGCTAAGAAAACAACCCTTTAAAGAGAGATATCTTTGATGATCACTCACCCATTTGGTAATTCTTGTTTTAAAGTCTCAATATCAGTAAACTGAACAGACTGTCCACCACCCCTTGTTTTAAAAACATCGCCCTAAAACCAAGAGAAAAGGTTACTGTTACACTTTGATACATTCAAATGATAAACATACATATCATAATTCAAACTGATCTCAAGATTCTACTGTTTTATGGAAACTCCTGCCCACAAAACCAGATGGTACTTGGGACTGCTAAGTCTGTACTACCCGGTATTGAAGTACATATTTGAGTACATATTTCTCAGAAAACAAAAGAAGTCCAATACAATGTAATCAGTAACATTCTTAACTATGAGAAAAAAATAATTCCTTTTTGTTTCACCCATAATTTAAAAATTAAAGTGCCCTAAGGATCAAGAAATCTGCCAGACATTTTTACATGTTTTATAGCACGTTCTTTCTTCTCTGGGCATTCCCCTTACTCAAAAAGCAGTATAGTCTTAATTATAGCTACAATTATAATAACTATCCTCTAAATTAAATTTGAAATAAAAAGTTTTTTATCTTTTACTTTCCTGATTATTCACTGACTAAATTATTAAAAGAAAATTCATCTACAGGTAGGCAAGTCTCCTAAGAAAAAGTTTTAAGTAGCTCAACACGAATGATTTTGATAGACCAAATTTTAATGTGGGCTTTTTATCTTGAACTAACAAGAGAGCAAAGGTAGGAGTTCTTTGTTTAGGTTTACTTTTTAAGTAGTGGTTATAATTAAATATACAGTAAAGTACAATGGATTTGGAGTTTAATCCCCTTTCAGCAGATTTATACCTAAGCAGTCACTTTAATTTTCTGCCAACAAAAAGGTTACATCAAATACCCAATGGTGTTCCAGTTGACATTGCCTGTTTGTCATCAAGGAAGTAGCAGGGCAAATGGTTTTTTAGTTAGTTGATTTTTTAAATATTTTTTTCTCCTGTGTAAATTAGTTTTTACCTTAATTAGTTTAGTTTCAATCTCCCCATCGGAGGCTAGTTCCTGGTGGGTCAGCATGTACTTGTCACACTTAGCTAGTGCCTTTTCATTTGCAACAGATACTGTGATGGCATGAGGGACATGTGGCTGCATGACTGTTTCAGTTTGCACGTTAGAGGCAGGCTTATGATCTACCCATCTGTCTCCTGCAGAGCGTGATCGTCTGTGTCGGAGACGAATTGGTGGTACATTCTGATCAGGTTGAAAGAGGAATTGAGAAACAAGCATAACCCAGAATTAATTTAAGGGAATTATTAGAAGTGCAGCAGGTTGGGTACATTACTTGATGACAATATCAAAACAATCCTTTTCAAAGCTAAATACGTTACTCAAGTAATTTAAACATTCTCTTCATAAACAAAAACAAAACCAACAAACATCTTTAACACTAACTTGTATATCACAAATTTTACCTTTGAACAAAGGATGAAAAGAAAAATTCTGGGGATGCTACTAGACTTTACTGCTTAGGGAGTGATTCAGGGCAAATAACTCACTTTACATTTTTAATGAAAAAAATCAATTTTTATGTCTGTTATTATGAGGTCATCTATTAGGTCCACAACTCTGTTGTAAGAGCAGTAAGAGCCCTAAACATGTCCTAGACCTCTAAACAAAAGAGAAAACATCTTTATACAAAGACAGAGATCAAAAAATAACACAAGCAGATGAAACTAGATAATATAAAATCCTATAGAATATAAGAACTCTACCTATAACATGACTAGAAGAATTGTAAAGTAGTTCTGAGTATTTTCACTGCAGGTTTTTTTTTGTGTTTTGTATTTTTTAGACAGTCTCACTATGTCGCCCTTGGTAGAGTGCCGTGGCATCATAGCTCACAGCAACCTCAAACTCTTGGGCTTAAGCAATTCTCTTGCCTCAGCCTCCCAAGTAGCTGAGACTACAGGCGTCTGCCACAACGCTCAGCTATTTTTTTGTTGCAGCTGTCATTGTTGTTTAGCAGGCCTGGGCTGGGTTTGAACCTGTCAGCCTCGGTTCAACTAACAGAGGGCAACTATCCCTAACAACTGAGCAACCGGCACTGAGCCCACTACAAGATTTTTAAATCTCAAAATAGAACTTCATGAAAAGTTCAAACATAATAATGACTATTTTACAAAACATTTATAAAGGTTCCAAGAGTCAAAGAATACAGTGTCAAATCAGTCTCATTACACAATGAAAAAACTAGTTGCTTCCAGTCAAATGTCATGTAAATCTGGGAAAGTAAAATTTAGTAGCACAATCAGCCTAAAGAAACAATATTTCATATATATGCCATCATTAATTATTTGAAGCAATGAGCTATCTTTGGCATTTTTGTGAACAACTCCTGTGTGTAAAACTGAAAGCAAATGAAAAATATCTGTCATAGGTCAAATTCTTCAAAGCTGGTCAAATATAATGATCCCAATATCAAAATGCACATCTGAGAAACTGAATCATTTTCCCTATATAGTGACACAGGCAATGCAATTTACCACTAAAAATGTCGAGCCTCATTTTTAAAATGGTTTAATTAGGCCAGGCACAGTGGCTCATGCCTATAATCCTTGCACTCTGGGAGGCCAAGAAAGGAGGACTGTTTGAGCTTAGGAGTTCAACACTCCTAAGTCTGAGCAAGAGTGAGGCCCACAACTACTAAAAATAGAAAAATTATCCAGGCACTGTGGTGGGTGTTTATACTCCCAGTTACCTGGGAGGCTAAGACAGAGAAGATCACTTGAGCCCAGAGTTTGAGGTTGCTGTGGGATAAGGCCATGGCACTCTGGCCCAGCAAGAGAGAGACTCTGTCTTTAACAACAACAACAACAAAGATTTAATTAATGTTGAAGAAGAAGAAAAGTCTGGCCTTTATCACATACTGTTTAGCAAATGTAAGAGTTTTCTTCAACACACTTAGCAGTAAACACATGATACAACAAGATTCAGAAAGATGAGTCTGTATAATCTACTAGCATTTATAAAATATTTATAGTTTTTTCCTAACTCAAGTATAAATCAGTCCACCTGATGTAATTTTTGACCAACAAACTTAGATGCATAGATACTAACCTTATAGTAAATTTTCTGCTGCACTTCTAAAGAGATTTTGATTTCAAGTGAGAAGTTGGAAAAAAAGTATCTCTAGTAAATCCTCTTAAATATCTTATAGCCAAATTAGATATTACATTGCTGTTGGCAAGGCACAAGCAGGCCTTGAATGGCTTCCAGTTTATAAACATTCATGAAATAAGGTGATTGACTAGAGTTGATCAGAAAGACCATTCACCATAATTTGCTCCCTAAAAGGGCTTAAGGCAAAAATCTATAAAGTAAAGAATGTAAGAGAGTTTAGAAGCGTCTGTTGCCTTGGTAAATTTGGGACTCATCACCATCCTTTAATAATCAGGAATTTGGGCCACCTAAATCTATACCCTCATTAGAAAATCTAAAGCAAATATTTACTATAAGATTAATTATTTAGAACTAAAATTCTAAAAGAGCTATGTTAATATTTTACTAAGTCTAAAAATCACAATGTTAACTTGATCCATTTATTCAGATTCAAAGGAAACTTTACTATAATCCTTAAGAGAAAAATATGAAAGTGAATTTAAATATCCTTGAATGAGGTAAAACCTTTGTAAACTGAGGTAAACCCTCAAGATTAAAAATCTTTAGTAGTTTCAAAATGAATTGCCTGGATTCTTTAAAACAGTCATATCATAAAATTTAAAAATGAGTGTTGGCTGGAAGACTATTTTACAATTAAAAGAGGTTAAAGAGACATAATTACCACATGCAATGGATATACTTTGACAGTATCACTGATTACAAAAGGAAAAGCCATGAGTGGGACAACTGAATATGGTCCCAATAGAAGATATTAATTCAATTAATGTTAACTTTCTTAGGTCTGATAAAGAATTGTAGTTATGTAGGACATTGTCCTTATTCTTAGGAATGAAGTGTCAGGAAGTCTATGACTTACTTTCAAAGGCTTGTGGGGAAGTTTACATATGGTAATAATTAATAGATGTAGGTCCAGGAAAAAGATGTTATCATACCATTTCTTTTATCTCTTCTCTTAGGGTATGAAATTGTTTTAAATAATAGTTTAAGAAAATTTTAAAAGCTAGGGTTCAAAAGCAGCAGCAAAAAAATCTAACTTGGGGAAGAGAAACCAGAAAAAAAAAAAAAAAGGAAAGTGAGCTCTAAGACACCAAGGTTCACCAATTTTGTACTCTGGGATATATCAAATTGACTTGTGTTCATTTAACACACAGGCATTGCTTGTTTTGCCAGATGTGCTTAGGCCTTTTCAGATGAAGAACTAGGCCTCAATTTTAAAAACAAGTCCATCTTTCAAATTAACTTACAAAAACATTAGACCTAATTTATTTATATACATATATACTGGAGTCCATCTATCTTTCCATTGAAATTTCAGAACCAAATTATAAAACACAAAGGAGATAATATCTATTGCTACAATATTTTAAAACAATACTGGCACCAACCCTGCAGCAATGATCCTCTTCTATTTCTATCTCATTTCTGAATGTAGGAACCACTTCCCTGCCTTCAGTCAAGTACATCCCTCGCCTTCTGTCTGACACGATACAAGTTTTACTTTGTTCTGGCTCCTGCTGCCTACGCCTTGCAATAGATGTAACATTGAGAGGTGTGTTGTACGAAGGAATTTTCTGCTCCCATTCCGAAATACAGGAAGCTACAGAAATGCTGCTGCAAGAGTTAGAGCGCCTATGTAGCTGTGGCTGGCTCATGAGTTGCTGGCCGTTGGAAATCTGAGCAATATAGTTACTAGAAAGCTAGAAAAATTGGAGAGAAATTAATGAGCAAGACTTAAAAACTGAGAGAAACAATTCATTACTTTTCTATAATTTTAGCACATGAAGATTTAACATTATAAATAATTACTTGTACAAAGTTACTAAAGTTTTTATGCTAAATTTGTGTTTATTACTAAATTTGTTGTTTACTAAATTTAAAAATATTCTTGAATAGAAATTTCAGAAATATAATTGCTAATATAAAACAGCTAATTATCACAGAAATAGTCATTTAATCTGAACAGATTTTCTCCAGTATGAAGTTAATGCACAACCACAAATAACTTACAGGCACTGGAGGTGGAGAAACAGATCTTCGAGTAACTTTTTCTCGATCCCGCTCCCGAGAGGGTCTCTCTGGCTTTTCAGTTTGGGGTTCAGTAACAATAGCCTTCAGTTGTTTCAGTTTTTCATCTTTGACCCAGAGTTTATTCTGCATCTCCAGCTGTTTGGCTGCCACCCTCCGCTCCTACAGGTTATCAATGGCAATTTATAGTGTAATTCAGTCATTGCAAGGAAGTATACCAGATTACCCAATCACTTTATTTTCTAAAAATGACAGTTCTCTAATTCTTCCTGAGAGTTAACAAATACCACCAAAACTATAACACAGACACAGTAATTTATAATATTTAACCTAACCTACAACATGAAATAAATAAATCATCCATTACGAGAATACTCACACATTCTTTCTCCCACTTCATTGTTGTTTCCGTTACCATGCCTTGCAACCTGGCTTCTAACCTGCGTTTGTCAGAAAATTGTCGCTGAAGTTTCTGATTCTGAGTTTCGAGTTCCTGCTGTAGATTGCGTTTATCTTCTTCATAGATAGTAGTTGTTTTCTCTAAAATCTCAATCTGGGAAGGTAGACCCTTATGCTTACTATTTGTATGTAAATATTTCATGCAGCTATAAAATAATCTTTCAAATTGCTTACAAAGCTTATTTGTGTTAAAGAAAGCCTTGAAGAAAGCACATTTTTCCTCTAAAATAGCATCTGAATTCCCACTTCCATTCCCAGAAATAGAAACTAACTAAACAAGTTTTTTACATAAGTTATAACTTAACTTTTTAGGCTATATTCATAATTAAAGAAAACAGCTGGTTGATCCTAGCTCCTCTTTAGAATGAAGGTACACTCGCCAAACCTCGTCTAAGAGAAGATACATATTACACAATGCCACAGCACTCTCCAACAAAACAGCATTTTCCTCTACCTCAAAGGAAGAGATGAGTCCTAAGCTCATACTGTTTACAATTTATAAACCAAATGCAGATCTAATTAAGATTTACTGTTTATCTATTATGTCTACGGCACTATGCTGGCACTTTTACACTATCTCATTCAATCATTTTTTGCATGTGCTGAAGGAATGCATAATAAGGAAACATTTCTAATAAATCAAAAACAAGCTACAACTGGCTCAGCGCCTGTGGCTCAATCGGCTAAGGTGCCAGCCACATACACCTAAGATGGCGGGTTCGAATCCCCAGCCCCGGCCGGCCAAACAACAATGATGGCTGCAACCAAAAAATGGCCGGGCGTTGTGGCGGGCGCCTGTAGTCCCAGCTACTTGGGAGGCAGAGGCAGGAGACTCGCTTGAGCCCAGGAGTTGGAGGTTGCTGTGAACTTTGATGCCACAGCACTCTACCCAGGGGGATAGTTTGAGACTCAGTCTCAAAACAAAACAAAACAAACAAGCAAAAAAGGTAAAGATCATCCCTTTTAAGCTTTTCACCCACATTTCCACTTTTTTGAGGTAGGATGATTAGTAACTAACCAAGTGAGAACTCATAATAAGCAGTGGTCACAGACCCCTGGAGCAGAACAGTCCACTAAAAGAGCAGGGCTGAATGGCCAGCACATATTTCCATTATAATAATGCCAAAACAAACCTTATATTCTAAAGTTTTATTTTTCTTTTCCAGGCGTTCTATTTCCAATTTCTGTCCTGAGATCACCTTTTCTTTTTCATTTAGTTTTCCTTGAATGTAGTTTTCTTTACTTAAGACAGCACTGTCGAATCCTTGTAATAAACCTTTAAAAGTATTAGCTGAAACAAAAGCATGCAAGTCAAATTTTACTCCATTTCCAAAATAACCAATGAAATCAACTTCTATTAGCAGGTAATAGATAAAATGCAGCTATTCAAAAAAGTAATAATAATTTTTTAGGAGAATAAATAAAATGTAGTGATCCAGCAAATCTCTGTGAGAATCAGTCTATAGTGAGTAAACAAGTATGAAATTTGACCAGAAATTTGACTCTCAAATCTATGAGATAGTCACAGAAATTTTACATTTAATCCTGAAAGACACTCAAGTCTTACATTTTACACTGTAGCTTTCTCTTCTCCACTCTTACAGGTAAATAGTTTTACTTCAGATCAACAAATGCAATCACACAAGCAACACTAGATTTGGGATTAGTTAGACCTGAATTGAAATCCCTGGTATACCGCTTATTAGTTATAACATTAGCAAGTTAATTTTTCTAAGTAAATTTCATTTTAATATGGAAACTTAAATAGCACTTTACCTCACAACTTTATAGTAAAGACTAAAATGCATTAACAATAAAAATAACAGATACATTCACTAAGATACATTCACTTAGTGTGTACAAGGCTGTTCAACTATTCTACAGGATCTTCATACATTATCTCATTTATCTTCATTAACACTCTCTGAAGTATTATAGAAGCAATTACAATACCCATTTTGTAGACAGAGAAACCAAGAAATATTCCTTTGTGTTCATCAACAACAGTAAAGGGAAAAAAAGGAAGGAGGGAACACATATTCACTTTTTTCTTTTGTTTGACTTTCTTAGAATTTATAAACAAGGGCTATGAGTAAATTTCTTTGTCATTCTAATTAAACCTTGAATATGTCAAAGTAGAGAGACAAGATAATTCTTCTTTAAAGGTCCATTCTACCATGGAACTCAAATGCATTACAAATACTCTTAATTTCAGAAGCTAAAATGGTTGCAAACACTTTGGCCATTACCTTGTTTGTTAAACTCATCAATCATCATTTGTCGGAGACGAACACGTTTTTCTAAGGCTTCAATCAGCTTCGGAAGTGTCTGATCATCATTGATATCCAAAATTTCACATGCTGGCAAAGGTGGAAAACTCTGTAAAACTATGTCGGTAACCAATGGTTCTGTATTGAAATTATAAAAAATTACAAAAAGTTACACAGGAGAGAAAGAGCTTAAACATGTTTAACAATGTGATTAGATTCCTCAGTCCAATTAACAATGGAATTTCTTTCTTTCTTTCTTTTTTTTTTTGAGGTAAGAGTCTCACTATGTCACACAGTAGTGCTGTGGTGTCACAGTTCATAGCAACTTCAAACTCTTGGGCTTAAGCGATTCTCTTGTCTCAGCCTCCCAAGTAGCTGGGACTACAGGCACCCAGCACAATGCTCAGTTATTTTTTGGTTGCAGTTGTCATTGTTGTTTAGCTGGCCCAAGCTGGGTTTGAACCTGCCAGCCTCAGTGTATGTAGCCGGTGCCCTACCCACTGAGCCACCTGGGAATTTGGGTTGGCATAATTTTACTTCCCTAAAAATGAGTTATAGTACACAACAAAAGAAATCTCACTTATATTTTAGTTCAAATATTTTTGATCTTGGTTCTTGAAGAGAAGGTATATAAAAGTTGTATTATATAAACAGATTTTTCAAAGATGAGACAGACAGACCAGTAGGCAAATGATTTTTTTTTTGAGACAGAGCCTCAAGCTGACCCCTGGGTAGAGTGCTGTGGCATCACAGCTCACAGCAACCTCCAACTCCTGGGCTCAAGCAAGTCTCCTGCCTCTGCCTCCCAAGTAGCTGGTACTACTGGAGCCCACCACAATGCCCGGCTATTGTTTGGTTGTAATTATCATTGTTGTTTGGCAGGCCTGGGCTGGAT